TTCAGAAAATGATTTTTTTAAAAAGGAGTCTTTAAACTTTTAAAAGTCCTGCCTCAAATATACATATAATTACTAATTTTAAATCAATAAATATTTTTAAATGTTAAAATTTATCAGTAGTCTTAACATGCATATATGGACAGTATAAGTAATAATAAAATGAACCACTGGGCATCTTCCACCCCAGGCAAAGAAACTGCTGTTTATGAAAACATTCTTTGGTTTAACAGCATTCTTGATTTCCATCCTCGATGTCTGCTGTATGCTGTCTGTGCCTCAGAAATAACCACAAGACTGATCTGTGCTCATCATTTTCTCGTCTTTACATGAGTCTTCTCGCCTATGTATGCTTCCCTCAACAATACAGGACAGTCTATAGTTCTGAAAACCAAGTAGCAAGCACAGATTTAGCTGTATAAGGACGGAGTCACCAATGTCAACACTACCTCTCATTCCTCTGAACAGGTGCACTTCCCTGTGTCTCAGTCTTGTCCTTTGAAGGCCTAATCCTAGTCCCACTTCCTCTCCAACTATTCAAGTTTCCAAGAAATTCTCTTCTCTCTGAACTACTGAACTTCCAGAGAACTACGCTGTTACCAAATTATTAGACACTATATACAACCATTCTCCAAATGAATTTTAAGATTTCATTCAGTCTGGAAGCCCCTTTTTTTAAAGTTTCATAACACCCATGTCAGTAATGGTACAATAACTGATATTTGACACCACATACTATCTTTTCTTTTTTGAAATTAAAAAAATTTTTTTTTACTTAATTGTTTATTATTTATTTATTTATAAGAGTCAGCGTCTCAAAAACATTTTATTTATCTGTTTGTTTGTAATAGACAGAGTCTCACTGTCACCCAGCCTGGAGTGCAGTGGTGTAACCATAGCTCACTGAACCTCAAATTCCTGGACTGAAGTCATCTCCTGTCTCAGTCTCTCAGACTACAGCTGCACCATCTGCCCAACTAATTCATTTTTTCTGTCAAGATGGGGTCTCATTATGTTGCCCAGGCTGGTCTCAAGCACTTGGCTTCAAACGATCCTCCTGCCTCAGCCTCCCAAAGCACTGGGATTACAGATATGAGTCACTACACCTAGCCCCACATATTATCATGAAGCAACTAAAAATGTAAAAATCAGCAAGCTGGTCATAGAACTGTATGCTTAAAAATGGTTAAAACGATGAATGTTATATTACATATATTTTAATATAATTTTTAAAATGTAATCAGCAAGCTGATACTTTCATTAGAAGGGAAGCAAATATTTTCTTTCTTTTTTTTTTTGAGTTGGAGTCTCACTCTGTCACCCAGACTGGAGTGCAATGGCCGCTCCCGGCCACCGCAGCCTCGACTTCCTGGGCTCCAGCGATCCTTCCGCCTTACCCTTCCAAGTAGCTGGAATTACAGGCATGCGCTACCACGCCCGGCTAATTTTTTGATTTATTGTGCAGATGAGGTCTCGCCAAGTTGCCCAGGCGAGTCTCCAACCCACGGATTCAGGCAATCCACTCACCTCAGCCTCCCAAAGCGCGGGATTACAGGCTGAACTACCGAGCCCGGCTGCAAATATTTTCATAATTTAAAAAAATTCCTTTTTCCTCCATCTCCCACTCTTAATTTCCTTCTCTTATGCTGAAATGGCAGCATTTCTAATATATGTCAGGAGCAAGCAACTAAGTGCTACAGACAATGTTTTGGCATAAACTGCTCAACTGAAACTCACAGGATATTGTTTTAAAAAAAAAACTTGCTAAATATTAGCGTCACATATTACCCAAATTCTTAATCCAAATGAACATCGTTTTACAAAACCCTAACTAAATACTTGAAAAAAGATTCTATTTCTCCTCTTTTCCCAGCTCAGTCAGAAGGGAACAGCCCAACAGCAGCCCAAGTGAACAGCCAAGTTCAGATAGCATTTATATTGATATGCTTCATTCATAAATTGTTACTTAACACATAAATTTAAGAAGTATACATTCATCTGACATGTTGAGACTTAACCCTTTTGTGTGCCATACTAATTTATGGTATAAAAATTGACAAAAGAAATGTAGTGATCTAAGACATGTTATTAAACCAAAGCCCAATGTAATAGAAGATAAATCACTCGTGAGTGGAAAGTCTAAAAACATCTCCACAGAGCTAAGTGGCACCATCATGAATATCAATAACAGGAAAGTTAAGGAAAACCCTACAACATTCCATAACAAGAATCTTAGCACTGTGATGCATCTGCCAAAAAAAGCCACTGTGACTTTGAGAAACTCTTCTTTCTGCCAGTTGGGAACCAAATGACAACCTCTATTTTATAGTCCCAGAAGTAAGACCATAGCACAACATGAGAATCACACAACAATTGCTTGGGCCAGTGACCTCCAGAGAATGAGAAAAACAATCCATCAGGGTATAGATAAAAGTTACTAGGCACTTCTATTTTTAGTTAAAACAAATTATATTCACTAATATTTAACATCTGGCAGGGCTCGGTGGCTCAGCCTGTAATCCCAGCACTTTGGGAGGCCAAGGTGAGTGGACTACCTGAGCCCGCGGGTTCGAGACCCACCTGGGCAACTTGGCAAGACCTCATCTCTACAATAAATCAAAAAATTAGCTGGGCATGGTGGCGCACGCCAGTAGTTCCAGCTACTTGGAAGGCTGAGATGGAAGGATCGCCGGAGCCCAGTAGGTCGAGGCTGCAGTGGCCGGGAGCAGCCACTGCACTCCAGTCTGGGTGACAGAGTGAGACTCCAACTCAAAAAAAAAAAAAAAAAAAAATTAACATCTGGAGTTGACATTAATATCCTCACTGAGTCTCTGTAAGATGACTACATATCATTGACAGGCATTCAGGGAAGGCTAACCAGAAAGTATTGTCACTATGATGGGTATTGTGATGTGTCAGATTTGCAGATTATATGATCTAGTTTTAACCAAAACAAACCCTCATCAAATGGCCAAAGTAATATTAAAAGATTCTTGCAAAAGATACTGCAATTGAAGACAATTATAATATCATAAGCAAAAAGGGGGAAAAGAAGGTAAAGTTTCTCTTAGTGACAGAAAAAGAAATATTATCAGACCTACAAAAGGAATGTCAAAAAAAATACAAAATTATTCTGAATACGTTTATTTCCGCTATCAATAAGAAAGAAGAATGAAGATTTACTTAAGTGTAAAATGCCCATTACTGCCCTATTAGCTAACAAGGGAGTGGAGTGTACGTACTTAAATAAACAAATATAAAAACAAAATCAGCGGGCTCAAATGCAGTGGTGTTTACAACTAATTGATCACAACCAGTTACAGATTTCTTGGTTTCTTCTCCACTCTCACCTCTTCACTTGACTAACAAAAAATACACACACACACACACACACACGGAGAGCCAAAGAGATGTATACACATTTTAAGAAAGACGCTGACTCTTAGCCGGGTTTAGTGGCTCAGCCTGTAATCCCGTGCCTTTGGGAGGCTGAGGTGAGTGGATTGCCTGAGCCCGCAGGTTCGAGACCCACCTGGGCAACTTGGTGAGACCTCATCTCTACAATAAATCAAAAAATTAGCTGGGCATGGTAGCACATGCCTGTAATTCCAGCTACTCGGAAGGCTGAGGCAGAAGGATTGCTGGAGCCCAGCAGGTCAAGGCTGCGGTGGCCGGAAGCGGCCACTGCACTCCAGTCTGGGCGACAGAGTGAGACTCCAACTCAAAAAAAAAAAAAGAAAAGAAACACGCTGACTCAAAAGATGGTGTTAATCAAATGAATGCCAGCATCACCATGTGACAGGCAGGATGGTCAAAGAAAATGGCAGAAGCATGGTGGCACAAATGTCATACTACACAATGCTACCATAATTTAATTCAACTTCAAAAAGTAACATAGATAACATCTCTTAAATTGTGTATATGTATTTTTTGGCACGTGTGTGTGTGTGTGTGTGTGTGCGCGCGCGCGCGCGTGCGTGTGTGTGTGCATATTTCCCCCTGGCTGACAGAAAAACATTCTCAGAAGAGGACTATTACTTTAGAAACTCTTCAATTGTTTGTTGTTGTTTTCTTCTGAAACAGGGTCTCTGGAATGCAGCCTCGAATTTCTGAGCTCAAATGATCCTCCCTCCTGTCTCTGCCTCCCAGGTAGCTGGAACTACAAGGCTTGAGCCACCACACCCAGCTATTTTTTTTTTTTTTTTGGAGAGATGGTGCTCAGGCTGCTTATTGTTTTTAAAGTAGTCTAAATAGCAATATGAAATGAAATTATAATAAATGTAAGTAGAAGCTTATGTTTTACATAACAGGAGAGAAGAACAACAAGACAGATTGGGTCCCATTCTGAAGGAGAATACCATCTAGAAGATTAGATAAAAACACAAATAACTTTAATGTGACTCCATGGTCATTTGTGCTCAAGTAAATTTTTCAGGTTCTCCTCCTTAAGGTTGCACTTCCCAGCCTCCCTAAAGTTAGAGGTCATGTGATTTACTCTGATCAATGAAATGTGAACCACAAGTCACTTCTGAGCAGAAACTGAAGAGTCACTTCCTCCTTTTATGATAGTGACTGGTACCGGCCTGATGGTGACTCCATCTGCCTAGCCGCAAGAGGGAGAATGAAGTAGCCTGTGAATGACTTAACAGCCTGAATGAGAAATACGTTTTTGTTTTAAGCCATTAAGTTTTTGAGGTTGTTTATTACCACAGCTTATCTAACCTCTCCAGAATAAGGTAGCATGTAGTAATTTCAATAAAGAATGCTGGGAGAGCCAAGGAAGAATATTACATCTCACTCAATTACTACTCAGTCTTGTAAAAGTGGATGAACTTTTATAAAAACCATTCTTGCCCCTGACTCAGTGACTGGTCACTTTCAAGTTTGCCTAAAGAACTAAACAAGCTTCTGGCTATTTTGTATAGGTTTCTTTCAAAAGGATTTCAAATGTTTCCACAATCTTTTAAATAGAATTCAGTTCTGGTTTATACACCGCAGCTTACCACTAAGTAACTCAATCCAGTTCTGGACCGTTTCTGGAGGTTGAGTCTCCTTGACATGCTTCAGAGCTTCATCAAGAAGAACATCCCCTGTTGGAGCATCCGATTTACAGATTACCTAAAAGGTAAGCATAAGAGTGACGTGACCTACTGATGCCTTTTCTGACTTCACCTCATTAAATGAAAAACAGTTATGTAAGTAATCATTATGCTTAAAGCTGCAAGTATTCATGCAGTATCAATGTTCAAATTTTAAACTACCTTCATTAAGAAAATTCAATATTTAACCTAAACAGATTAGATATACTAATGAATGAAAATAAGGTTACTGTGCAATACTTAGTAAAGAAAATGTAAAGACAATTTAACTCACTGCAATTCTTTTCATTCCTGAACCCTGAACTATTTGGACCAGAAATTCAGTTGTTAAAAATATTATTAGCCGGGCTCGGTGGCTCAGCCTGTAATCCCAGCACTTTGGGAGGCTGAGGTGAGTGGATTGCATGAGCCTGCGGGTTCGAGACCTGCCTGGGCAACTTGGCAAGACCATCTCTACAATAAATCAAAAAATTAGCCGGGCGTGGTAGCGTGTGCCTGTAGTTTCAGCTACTTGGAAGGCTGAGGCGGAAGGATCGCCGGAGCCCAGCAGGTCGAGGCTGCGGTGGCCAGGAGCAGCCACTGCACTCCAGTCTGGGTGACAGAGTGAGACTCCAACTCAAAAAAAAAAAAAAAAATTATTATTAGTCGCAGAAACAAACTCAATTTTATGTAAGAATGCAGTACAGGCTAAGCATTCCTGGTCCCAAAATCTGAAATCCTTCAAAATTCAAAACTTTGAAGTGGCAATATGACAGTCACTGAAGCATTTTGGATTGCAGATGTTCAGATTAAAGATGTTCAAGTAAGTGTAATATAAATATTCTAAAATTCAAAAACCTCAAAAATTTGAAACACCGCTGGCCTTAAGCACTTTAGATTAGGTATGTTCAATCTCCATATTATAAAGGTAACATTCCACATCAGTAGAGAAACAAATTTTTCAACAAATGTCACTAAAATAACTGCCTAACCAATTGTAAGCAAACATTAAGTAGAATTTGGCTCTTCTGAATTTATGTTACAATAAAAAATAAAGATTTAAATAGGAAATACAATTTTAAGGGCAAGAAAGTTTTTAAAAAAAGAAAACTGTGGCCAGGCGCAGTGGCTCATGCCTATAATCCCAGCACTTTGGGAGGCTGAAGCAGGCAGACTGCTTGACCCTCAGTTCGAGAACAACCTGGGCAACATAGCAAATTCTTGACTCTACAAAAAAAAGCAAAAAATTAGCCAGGCATGATAATGCACGCTTGTAGGCCCAGGTACTTGGGATTATCTGAGCCCCCACGAATATGGAGGGATGACTATATTCTAAACTCCTTTGAAAAATTCAGTAATCAGTGCAATTCACTTACTTTTCTGTGGAGCATGAAAGAAAAAAAAAGTGTAGTTCATGAATAAATATGCTCTATCCAAACATCTCATTTTTATTTAGCTTGTTGATGTTTTATTGGTGTGGAAAGGTGGTCATTCCTAAATATAAACAAATATCAAGGATTTTAACATTCAAAGGAAAGCTTCCAACACAGAAAATAAGAGCTATGAGCAGAAATAATACAGATGAAGAAAATTTTCAAAAGAGCTGTAATGTTCTCATAAATCTAAAAGACACTACATCCATAAAACAAGAAACCATGTTAAAAAATCAAAAACGAGCCTATGGAAATGGTAACATGAGAGACACACACACACACACACACTCTCTCTCTCTCTCTCTCTCTCTCAACAGAAGAATTAAAAGACAACTCTTTAAGATTAGCCAAAAATAAGAGTAGCCAAAAAGTCTACATCCAAGTTACAGATTCTAGAAAAACAGAGGGCAGAAGAAACCAGAAATACAAGAAAATTTTCCAAAACCAAAAGATACACATTTCCAGATTGAAAGATAATGAATAAATTATATTCATTATCTATAAATTATAAATTATCTATAATGAATTAAAAATGACCAACATGAAGGCATATCATACACTTTCAGAACACCAAGGACAACAGAAGATACCAAATGCTTTCAGAAGGAAAAAAAAACAAATATTCCACAAAGAATGAAAATTGGAAGGACATGAAACTTTAACAGTAACTGTGTATACAGAAGACAATAAAGAAATGCCTTGCCCGTCCTCTCTGGGACCCTCACAGTCAGGGTCTAGTGCAGGGGCACTACTAATAAATAAATACTTTAAAAATCCTGTTGGAAAATAAATTAAATCTAATATTCTATTCTCAGCAAAGCTGTCAAATAAAAGTGAGGTACAATAAAGGTATTTTCAGGCATGCAGAGTCTCAAAACTGTTTTTTCCCAAAAAAGGCAGAAAATATGAGATCCAGATTACAGGGGGTAGAATGTAATAAAAATGTGACAGGAAATCCCAGGATGAAAGTGTGCTGTAGAACCAGAGAAATCTAGTCTAGACTGTTAAATCTCATGTATGTGAATATTTGAAAATTAACAATAATTTTTTCTCTGATGGAGCATTTAAGAAAAAAGTAAGAATACTCACACAGAGAATTATTAACTTCAGGGGGAAAATCTACACAAGAAAGGAAAATATCACAGAATATAACTTAACTCCACAGAAAACAATAAACAAAGTTGTAACAATAAAAACAATAATTGTTTTGCTAAAAATTTATGATATAACTCAATTAGAAAGACTGGGGGACAAAAGGAGGTAATACTTGAAGAGAGCCAAATAGTCATCTATTCTAATAGAATGTAAACAGTGCCTCAAACTGATTTATCAAGTGATGTTAGTATAAGCTTATATAAAATATGAAAGTAAATGCCAAAAGAAATGACTAAGAGAAAGATGGTTGAACGATGCCCCCTTCTCCCCCCAAAGTATCCACAACCTACCCTACAGAACGGTTTTTGAGAAAAGAGTCTTTGCAGATGAAATTTGGTTGAAAATCTTAAGGTAAGATCATCTTAGATTATCCAGATGGGCCCTAAGTGCAATGACAAGTGTTTCTACATAAGACATACAAAAAGGGGAAGGTGATGTGAAGACAGAGCAAAGACTGATGCAGCCAGAAGCCACAAACATCTGGAGTGACCAGAAGGTGGAAGAAAAAAAGAACATAATCTTCCAGAGAGCCTTGAAAGAGAACACAGCATACCCTGATTTTGGACCGCTAGCTTCCAGAGCTGAGACAAATTAGCTTCCAGTAATTTGTTAAGGCAGTCCTAGGAAACTAATATAAGGACTAAAAATGGTTGCCTCTTAGGAACAGAACTAACAAGGGCGGGCAGAAGATAGTTATTTTTATTAATAAAATTTTATTTTATACTATTATATATGTGTAATCGACAAAATCAATTTTTTTGTTTTTTTGAGACAGAGCCTCTATCGCTCAAGCTAGAGTACCGTGGCAATCATAGTTTACTACAGTTTCAAACTCCTTGGCTCAAGTGATCCCCCCACCTCAGCCTCCCACGTAGCTGCAACTACAGGTGCACTCTACCATACTTGACTAATTTTTATATTTTTTGTAGAGAATGGTCTCAAACTCCTGGTCTCAAGTGATCCTCCCACCTCAGCCTCCCAAAGCTTGAGATTTTTAAATTAGCAAATTAAATCATACTGAAGTATTTTCCAAAATACTTAAGAACACTCGAGTAATAGCCCATTCAGGCAGGGACCATGTCTCTGTTGGTCACCAATGCATCCCCAGGGTCTAACACAGTGCATGGTGCACTTAAGCACCAAATAAGCATATGATGAATAAATAAGTGAGACAATCAAATGACATTGTTGACAAACAACATAAAACTGGTTCTTCCCACAAAACGAACGAATATTAAAATCTTTCCACTTTAGGTCAGAATCCTATAACATTAAACACAAAATTACTTACAATACTATAATTAGTAGTAACGTATGTATATTAATATAGTTTGCATTGTTGCTCCTTCCAAATCTCATGTTGAAATGTGATCCCCTGTTGGAGGTGGGGCCTGGTAGGAAGTGATTTATTCATGGGGGTGGATCCTTCATGAATAGCTTGGTGCCTGTCTAGAGGTAAGAAGTGAGTTCGTGCTGCTAGTTCATGTGAGTTGGTTGTCTAAAAGAGCCTGGCACCTCCTTACCTCTTTCTTGCTTCCACTCTTGCCATGTACCCCATCTGCTCCCTCTCCTTCAACCATGTTTCTGAGCTTCCCAAGACCTCACTAGAAGCCCAGCAGATGCCGGTGCCATACAGAACAATAAGCGAGAATAAATCTCTTTCCTTTATAAATTAGCCAGCCTCAGGTATTTCTATGTAGAAACACAAAATGAACTAACACACAAATACTTCACTGATAACTATAATGGCAGCCTCCTAGGTTTTTTCCCTCCATAAATCACTATGGATGTATGGCTCTTTTCCACTTATTGATACAGTTACCTAAAACAGTAGCTTTTTAAATGAATTTCATGCTAGCTCATTTGACCTGGCTTTAAATGACAGTCAATTTTAAAATCCCATGCAGAATACTTTTTAATACACCATGTTTACTTTTTGCATATAACCTCCAAGAAAACATTAATGGCTTTCTTGGATTGAAAGCATATCAGTTAAAAAAAAGTTCAAGCCGGGCTCGGTAGCTCAGCCTGTAATCCCACGCCTTTGGGAGGTTGAGGTGAGTGGATTGCCTGAGCCCATGGGTTCGAGACCCGCCTGGGCAGCGAGACCCCATCTCTACAATAAATAAAAAAAATCAGCTGGGCGTGGTAGCGCATGCCTGTATTTCCGGCTACTTGGAAGGCTGAGGCGGAAGGATCGCCGGAGCCCAGCAGGTCGAGGCTGCGGTGGCCGGGAGCGGCCACTGCACTCCAGTGTGGGCAACAGAGTGAGACTCCAACTCAAAAAAAAAAAAAAAGTTCAGTTCTGACCTACCTAAAACTTTTGGATTTATTAGGGCACTGTATTAAGGTTAAAAATGGTCCTGAAACACCATGCCCGAGAAACACAATGATAGACTGGAAGAGAAATCGTCTTAAATATTGGAGATGGAAGTTAAAGTTAAAAATTCTAGAAACTAGCCGGGCTCGGTGGCTCAGCCTGTAATCCCGCGCCTTTGGGAGGCTGAGGTGAGTGAATTGCCTGAGCCCGCGGGTTCAAGACCCGCCTGGGCAGTGAGACCTCATCTCTACAATAAATCAAAAAATCAGCTGGGTGTGGTGGCGCATGCCTGTAATTCCGGCTACTCGGAAGGCTGAGGCGGAAGGATCGCTGGAGCCCAGCAGGCCGAGGCTGCGGTGGCCGGGAGCAGCCACTGTACTCCAGTCTGGACGACAGAGTGAGACTCCAACTCAAAAAAAAAAAAAAATTCTAGAAACTATCCAACACTACTTCTAATTTACCAAACAAGTACCTATACAGGTCTTCATAGGAGAGAAGACAGAGATCTGAAAAGTATTCATGGTCTGATGAGACGATCAAAAGCCTATAGGTAGTTAATTTGCACAGCAACACTTTTAAGGTTTTTTTTATGTCAAGTCTTCCCACTGATAGCGCTATCTTCAAAGGCAGCAAATGAAGTTTGGAATCTTTCTGAAAATTTAAGATGACGAGGTCAATGATCCTAGCAATAAATTGTATTATTCATTATATGTACAAAAAGCCAGGAAACCAAGAACGCAGAAAGGATATGGAAACACAACTCAATGAAGACAACTTGAAGATCAATTTCCACTGTAATTTTTGAAAGCTATTAGTAGAAACATTCATTTTAAGCAGTATGAACTCTTATAAGGAAATCATTCAGCACTCCTCTTACCTTTCTTGTTAATAGACTTTTACGTCTCATTCCACAAGCCTCTAGTTGTAACCTTCCTCTCAATGCTAATTCAATTAACATGCAGCCACGTAATCCAGATGATATACAGTCATTCCAAAATGATGTGTAACCCTATTTAAAAAAAAAAAAGAAAACAAAATGACTAATTCACCTTGAATTCAAAATCAAAATAGAAATATTTTTAGCCAAAGTCATTTCTGGTGCCTTTTACCTTTCCTGTCTTATAATTAATATGTATTACTTATCTAGGATTTTGTGGGGTTTATTGTCTTTTCATCACTTATTCTTACAGGTAAACAACAAATAACTTTGTAAGTCACAGGTTTTTGAAACATAACTCATACTCCATAAGGTATCTGTTTATTAGACTCTGAGATTGCATGCTCCAGGGAACATTCAAGTTAACCTCAGATTGTAACGGTTTAGTATTAGCATATGTGAGCTCACAGGAAAACAACATAGCCAACTGAGGCTTCATGGAGAATCAGAATACCATTCATTCACTGCTGTTTAGGATAAAAATATAAGGTTAATTTTGTAAAAATACATCAGAAAAACACAAATGGGCACATGAACAAAAAGGTTGGCTGTGTGTCTAAAGTTCTAAATAACAAACAGTAAAACAATTAGATTGGCCCCGAGAGAATGTAAAAGCAACACCCCAGGTGGAAGAACAGCCAGACATATGGAGGTGGATAGAGACATCTAGGGATCTGGGAATACTGGTCAACCAGGCATCACCAGATGAGGTCAGGGCACTCTTGAACAAGCATCTGGAGTGGTCCCAATTATAAAGCCAGGAACTCTGCCAGCAGGGTTACCAGCTATCAACTTCAGAAACCCAGCTCTCATGAGAAAGCAGAAGTTACAAGTAATTCTAGTTAAGGCTCAGCACAGGGTAACTTAATTTTAGTAGGAGGAGAGTGGACAAATTGAATCTCTGAAAAATGGGGGTTCCACCCTAGGAAGGTTTAGACCCTTGGACCTGGCATTTCCTGGGTCAGTCCTAGTACTTTGTTAGGCCAGAGTGGTCAGCTCGTATTTCAGAAGATGTCTGACCTTCAAGGTCCATGGAACTTTATTATTAAAACAGACTTACGTTTGCCTCATGAAGCTACCACTGCTGAGAATGTGGACTTTGGGAAAATGAGAGGCTAGATTAAAAAGGAATAAACAAAAATACCAGTTTAAAGAGGTCAATTTAAAGATGAGGCAGAAGAAGCAGACACTGACTAGATTTGAGGGAATCATTTTAAACTTAGTAAGTACTGGGGTCCTGCTCAAATTAGGATTACCAGAGATTCAGCAAAGTGGTTAATAAAACCAGTAATTTACAGAAGTCAGGTAAAGTCCATGGCTTGTGTAGGAATGACAATAAAGCTCTAGGAAGCCTGAGAATGGAATCTACATGAAATTAAAGTTACAGGTATCTGGCTTTGACTGGTCTGGTCATACAGATAGTTCTAGATGAAACTCTACAAACTGTACAAACAGAGTGTACACCTCAAGAAGGACCTAATGGATGTGAACATCTCGCAGTCTGAACATTCTGGCTGAACAGTACATAGAAGCTTACGTTTTTGCTTTTGTTTTTTTTGAGTTGGAGTCTCACTCTGTCACCCAAGTTGGAGCACAGCGGCACGCTCCCAGCCACTGCAGTCTCGACCTGCTGCCTCAGCCTTCCAAGTAGTTGGAACTACAGTCATGCGCTACCATGCTCAGCTAATTTTTTGATTCATTGTAGAGACGAGGTCTCACCATGTTGTCCAGGCTGGTCTCGAACCTGTGGGCTCAGGCAATCCTCTCGCCTCAGCCTCTCAAAGTTCTGGGATTATAGGCTTGAGCCAATCCATGCCCAGCCTGAAGCTTACATTTGACAGCAGAACACTAAAGATGTCTCAGTCTCAAATGCTCCCAGAATGATGACATACCCAGAGATTTTAGCCAAACAGGGTCTTAACAGACTTTAAGGTCTATGTTTAGTAAATGGCTTTGGGCATTACCACTAAAAGACAAATGCTTAAACAAAATTAAAGTCACATGGAAAAGTAGATGAATGGGCATGGACACTTCTGTATCATAGCTTCTGGGACTCACCAGCAATATTCCAAAGATAAATGAAGCCAAAAAAGACATCAAGCAACAGACCAATCCAGTATGTAAAGCATGAACAAGAATTAACCAGGGGATAGCGATGGGGAAGGAGGGACAGAAGGGGTATTAAAAGGGCTGGGTTGAATAAAAAATGGAAAAATACTGCAAAAGTTCAATTTCTCAACCAACTCGTCTTAAAAAAAAAAAAGAAAGAAAAAAAAATACTGGATGAGATGACAATGCCACACTAGGGAATTAAGTATCTTAAGGGGAGAGCAGTAGACTGGGACAGAGCCAAGTGAATCTGGTCATGACCTAGACCAGCAAGGTTCTGGAATGACTCCATGTGGGCCACAATACAGTGACACAGACCACCAGGTGGCAGGGAACTACTTGAGTTAGGAGTTGGAGCACAAGCTTTGGCCTTAGCGAGTATTGAGGAGCTCTTTAATCTTTTAATTTCTACCTAGTACCAACACTCTTACATATATTTCATCATTTCCAAAACATACTTGTAAAGCTTAATAAGTCTGAAATTGGGATACATTTTTGTTAAATAGATGGCACCTTAGATTAAAGAATAGATGGTATTACAACTACTGAGCTAATCTAAACACATGAAAGACAGAAGAGACCTGCAGCATAGACCTCACAGATGCACAGCAGGAGAGAGATAATGACCTAGGGTCCAACTTGTCAGTTACTGGATAGTACTGAAAACCTGGCCCAAGAGTGAGTGACTGAATATCTAGATCTAGTTGTGCCATTCAACTGCCTGACTCCTCGGTGTGGAAGATTTTACAAGGACAAGTCAAAAGCAACCACACTGCCCAGAGGATTCTTGTCCTTAGACAAACAGCTACCCTCTTCATGTAACAATCACAACAACGGAGTTTAGGCAGAAGGGTTACACATTCAGTACATAAAGTATGTTTGTACCTCATCAAAAACTTTACACCCCATCTATCAAACAGAGCAAGCTAGTCACATTAAAAACAGTAAAATATGTGGAGATTAGTAACTACTGGCAATATCAAGCAGTTTATGATTTGGCTCAAAAGGCACAACTAGCTATATTTGAAACCATATTGTGAAAGGATAACAAAGAATCAAAAATGCTTATTATAGCCAATTCTATGTATTCAGGAACAGTACACAGCTCTTGCACTTGGAAACCAATAATCACTTCAACCCCAGATGGGTCTGAAATTATGCCACTATCAATGGAGAAAATATCATGCCTTGATTGAAGACAGGGTACTAGTACTCAAAGTTCAGGGTCACTTTAAGGAAGGACCATTGGCAAACAATCAGCTAACTGATGAAGCAGCAGCAGCAGCACTAGGAATATCAGTAGCCACAGGATCTCGAGAATGTACCCACTTGTCATAGAAGAAACAACTCGGGGTCAGGCGCAGTGGCTCAAGCCTGTAATCCCAGCACTTTGGGAGGCTGAGGCGAGAGGACTGCCTGAGCTCAAGGGTTTGAGACCAGCCTGGGCAGCTTGGTGAGACCCTGTCAATACAATAAATAAAAAAATAAGCTGAGCCTAGTAGCGGGCACCTGTAGTTTCAGCCACTTGGAAGGCCGAGGTGGAAGGATTGCCTGAGCCCAGGATGTTGAGGATGTGGTAGCCATGAGCATGCCACTGCATGCTCCAGACTGGGCAACAGAGTGACACACCAACTCAAAAAAAAAAAGAAGAAACAACAACTTGGTACTGAGGAATGTTAGAAGATCACAAGAGGGAGCACCTCCCAAACTTGGTTTGGAAGTATGTTTCCCAGGCTACAATAAAATTTTTAAAAGATGATCACAAGAGAACTACTTTGGGGCTGAACATTGTGATCAGCTTCTATGTTCTAAAATATGAGAGTTGGAGACATTCCAAGTAGAGCTGGGCCACCTACTACCCTCAAAGAACTCACAAAAGCATCAGTTCACTGGGTTCATAAGTCCAAAACAGGGAGAACATGTAACAATAGAGAATGCCAGCCAGGCGCAGTGGCTCACACCTATAATCCCAGCATTTTGGGAGGTTGAGTTGAGAGGATTGCCTGAACCCACAGGTTCGAGAGCAGCCTGGGCAACATGGTGAGACCTCGTCTCCACAATAAATCAAAAAATCAGATGAGCATGGTGGCACACGCCTGTGGTTCTAGCTACTTGGAAGGTTGAGGTGGAAGGATCACTGAGCCCAGCAAGTTGAGGCTGCAATGGCCCTGAGTGTGACACTGTACTCCAGCCTGGAGTGAGAATCCTACTAAAAAATATAATAATAACAGAGAATGCCAGTAAGCCCCTAATATAGCTATACTGGTGAGTTGGGATACTAGGAAATCTAAAACAGGTACATCTGAAGGTGATATCACATGCAGCTCACAGGGTCCAACAAAACTGGGGAAAACAGAGCCTACATGACGGAATCAGAGTAAAACAACTCCACTTGTCTTTTACCAACTATCTGTTCTTCATAATAACATTAATTACCAGATAGATAGAGACTTTCCCAATTAAGCGCCAGCTAAGTTGACTACAGAGTTCTGCTCTAATCAATCTTCTGCTGTTGGGAGTCCTCAGTGCCAGACTTGGACAAATGGCCAAGCTTAAGGGCAGACCTCACAAGCCCATGTCACTAAAATGGATAAACTACCCTTTTCACATAGGATGCTACCCAGAAGCAGGGAGTCCAACAGAAAGACTGAAAGGTACAATAACAAATGAAGCAGACACAATCCTTCCCTCAGTGGGCAATGTGAACATTTAAGAACTGAGAGACTACAGGAAACCCAATATTCACTGTACATAATCCGGCTTTTTCTCGTTGAAAAGACTAGTAATTATTTGGCTCTCCATCTACCTGACTCCCTTTTTCAAGTGGTTCACCTTGATTGGGAGAGGACCCCTAAAACTGCAAACACTGAGAAGAGTTCTCACCACTAGAGTTAAAAGCCACTGATCTGCTCTTAAGTGCCTACATACTCGGAAGCTTTTTGCTACGAAGGAACTCAAA